ATGGCTAAGTGTATTGTTCTATAGAGTTCCTTGAGTGGCAAATACCAAATTTAGGCTCACTGACGTTTGATATGCAATTGGCTTTGGGCTGCTTTAGACTTCTGGAAGCAGAAGGATATCTTTTTTTTTCTTGGACTCCTGAAGAGGTAGTAAATTATTTCCTTTTCTTTGTTGTACAGCAGCCCCTCATTTGCTCATTTGTGGAAACAAATACCTGAAAAGGTATTTCTAGAATGACTTATTGAGAAATAGGTAACTTTTCATATCAGAAAATAGAATTGAACTCCAGTTCATGCTTGTGATGAAGGTTGTAAGTACTAGGTAGACAAAATACATAGTTGGTATTAGTTAGGTGAATTGATGCATTTAAAACATGTCAGTTCAATTAAATCAGAATATTGAAAGTGGAGTATGATCCATAATATAATTGATTTTCATATAGGTAGTCACAGCCTTCACAGTCTTTGGGAGAAAAAGAAATTCTTTTAAAAGATCAGTTTACTGAATGCTTTTTTTCTTTAAAAAATAGTTTGGAAACAGCCTATTAGAAACAAAGCAGCAATGTGAGTATCACAAGAGAGAACGCTTAAAGATGCATGTTTTTAGGAGCTTGTACTTTGTGCTGACATATTCAGAAAGGTCTTGGGGTATAAAGGACTGCTAGTCAATACCAATGCTGGCCCATATCTTCTGCAATGTTCTCTTCTAGAGGCAACAAAAACGGTCAAGAGAAATTGAATAGTCTTTATTTGGTCCTGTTTTGATCAGAACGTAGTGTCTAGTCATGTTTTTGATTCAGAAAAGCACTTCCACAGAATTTCAAAATTGCTAACCTGATTCTTTTAAAGTCTTTATAGCCCTGTTTTAGTAGTTGGGCTTTGTCAAGCCTGTCCTTATTCCTTATCCTCCACTAGTATTGCAAATAATTTGTGGTTTTTGCAGAACAGTTTGAAGAAATGGACCTACTCGACTTGTTTAAGAAATTAGGCTGGAAGAATAACAAGGAAACTGGAAATATTGAAGCAAGCTGCTTTTTATAAATGTTTGTTCTAATGTGAAAATCCTTCTTTATTTTTCTATGTATAAATGAAATTGAAACTTAACAGTAGGATTGGGCCCGAAACAAATGTTGAACAACTTAAGGTGACTTGCTGTGTATTGTCTGGTGCCACTATTCCGTAGCTCCCCTAAGGTGAGTTCTCTTGATGTTTGGGAAGGTTTAAAAAGATAGCCATTTAAATTTAAACATTCCACTCACTTAGCTGCAATTCAGTTTGTCCTGCTGGTTGGACAACATAAGCTCTTCCAGTGCTCACTCAGTGACTTGCAGTTCCTAAGATTACTACAAATTCAGCTATGAATATATTCTCCATGTGTATATTTGAAGTACTGTAATACTAACTAGGTCAGTGACTGATTATGAGCCTTCACATCTGACAGACCTCAGCAGCAGGCACAGCTATTTTGATTCTGTACACTGTATAAAACTTAAGTCCAGTAGTCACTTAACAGTAAGTGGAACATGACTGCAGATCGATGCTTACTTTCAGCTTACTCCAGCAAGATAACTCAGCTATCCAAACTGATGTACATAATGTATTATATGAGTTTTACCATTTGATAATTGCCTTTTTCAAAGAAAACCTGTCCACACTGTAGACTGGCAGTCCCTTTCATATCTTGCCTTTAAAGATAGAGTGTTTAGTTGTTAGAGTAGTACTCACGTAGGCTTGTTATAGCAGATAGCACCATTTTATTTGAGATAGTTAAGTGGATTAATTACAACTTCACAGATATGTCCCCAAATCTGTAACACCAAAGGCTTCCCTCTCATTGTTCTTGATGTAGTAGGACAGTGTTTGTGTAAAGGCCACAGGAGTACATTTTGTTGGACATATTTACACCCAGTCAAGATGTTAAGGTGATAAAAATGTCAATTGTTCCTTACAAACTTACACGTTGTATAGTATACAGAATAAATTGATTTACTTAGTTTTTATTGCACCATGGAGGTTTGTCTCATCTTTACTGTGGTTTCCTAAACAATACTGGATACTTCAGTATTCTCTATGGAAAATTTCTAAACCCTAAATCTTGCTACTCTGTATCATTAAAAATATGACTGGGCTTTGGTTTCTAGTATGTTAGACTACAGAATTACTTTAATGTAATCACATTTATATATATTTCAGTGCTTATTTTTCTATTAAGGCAATTAAAGCTTATTGTTTGAAAACTCGGTAACAGATGATTGTTTGGGTCCCTTGCACTGAATGAAGGGGATGTCTGGGAGCCAGCTTGGTGCAAAGAAGTTTGCTTTGCTTTAGACTGTTGACCTAAATGTGGCCACATTTCCAGAAACCACAATGCTGGAAAAAAGTCCCACAAATTTCCTAGTCAGCCTGAGGCTGGGTGCTGATCTTTGCACAGCTTCCAGATCCGTGGGGTGTTATTTACCCAGTTAGCTCAGTCCCCAAAGTTACAGTAACACCCTCTGCGCTCTGCATACCTGCATGGTACATGATTGTCTCTCTTCCTGCATATCTCTTGTATTACATTTCAGAGTTCTTAACTGTTCCATCAGTACTGGCTGGAACCAGCCCTGTTTGTTTTCTACAGCTAAAATCTCCAGGCCTGGTCCTTGAGCTGTGAGAATATGGGCTTGGCACTGCTCACTCGTTGTACAGTGTGACAACAGAATAGGAAGTCCTGTGTGAGAAAGGAATTTCTCTGCCACAGTTGAACAGATCACAGATATGAATGGAACACAGATGTAAGAAAAAAGATAGGACAAATGCTTCTTGACTGTGGGAAAAAAAAAGCGTAAAAACTCCATATAAAATTCCACATGTGGACTGTGTCAGTTACATCACCTATACACTGTTATCTGGAACACCCTGGGATCTATGCTCTGAAAAAAATGCCATCTTTTCAAAAAGATGTTGTGTGCAAGGTAAGAGATGAGATCTTTTAAAATCTTGCCAGCAAATGCTTGATGCAGGAGATGCATCTTGAAGTAGTCACTCTGGATACATTGCAAAAAGGTTGTTTCTTGGCAACTTTCAGTGCCCCCAATTCCTGTCCTTAATGGCAGATTTAAAATCCTGGTTTATGCAAATTGTGTCAAATAGCATATTTTGGACTCAGATATCTATTTTTTGCTGTGGCTCATAATTACATTTGGCTCCCGAGCTCCAGCTCTGGGTGGCTGAGATCAGTAATCCACAATCCAGGCGAACTCCTGAAATGAGTGTCTTTGAGTTTAGCATAGATATGCTGAGGAAAGGGTTCAAAATATCAGATGTGAAGCATCACACGGAGGGGAGGTCCAGGTCCTTTCTGAAAACAAAACTGAAATTTCAGTTTGCAGTTCCAGTGTTGCACATGAAACGTGACTGGTAGCTTTAGTATAGATCTCTCTGGTTTGCCTTGGCAGACAGATGAAGAGCAGCTATGAAAACTGCTTAGCCAAAACCTCCCCCCTGACTTGGAGAGCAGCTCTCAGGAACCCTTCTGGGCTTTTTATAGCACCGGGAGTGAATGTCCAGTTCTGCTGGAGTGAGCCTCCTGGTGTGGGACAGCAACAGCAATCGTGGCTGATAATCCTGGACATTCTGGTAGAACATGGGAAGGAATGTATTTTTAAAATTCTGTTCATGTTATTTTGAACTCTCCCAGCAGAACCAGCTGGTTTTTTAATCTCTAGTTTGAGTTTACTAACCTTAGTTTCCTAGCTGTGAAGGCCATATATCTGCACCTAATACAAACAGCTCTGGGTAAGCTACATATTTTCATCTTCGCTATTTTCTCTTTGTGCTTGCTACTTCCTCCTTTTTAGATAGCAGCAATAAAGTCCAGCTAAGCATTTGTTTTGGGAGTCAGGATAGTGTTTTCTCCCTGTTACTAAATTGATGAGTGATTTCTGACCCACTGCTTTCATGGTTCAGTTTCTCTGTAAACAGCTTTGTCTGTTTCTTTGGTAGTTGCGAGTTTCAGGGGCAGTGCAGATACTACCCACTGAATACACAGCTGTTAGCTAAACACCTGAATTCTGAGAGGATAAATAGGCAAAAGCACTTTGGTGGAGAATATGGCAAACTTAGCTATTTCAAACTTGTTTTGTATTTTGGACCACATGGGCTAGGAGGATGCATTTCAAAGGTGGAAAATGAAAACAGAGAAAGAGAGAATAGCTTCAGTTCTGCTGTCAAAAGAACTCTTGACATAACCTGAGCTGTACAAAACAGTCATTAACAAATCATGAAGGAGTTGGGTGTCATCTTGAGATCTTGCTGGAACATGGACAATGCTTTTCATTCCAATTTCACGTGGATGTTAAACTTCTCAAAGATGTATACCTCCATGTCTTGATGACAGGCAGTGGTTTGGGCCCATTTCCCTTCAGTGCCTTCAGTAACGGTTGGAATGACAAATGCAATCAAGCTGAAGGAGGCTGTAAACAATTTGAAGGACGGGGTTAGAATCGGTGCCCGTGAAAGGGAGGGACCTGATGGTTCCCTGCGCCTGGTGATGCCCGCGGTGCGGAGCCTCGAGCAGGGCACGGGCTGGGGACCAGCCAAAATTATAAATATCCCTGGTGACATAACGAGTAATTTGTTCAGCGCAGGAGAGAAAGAATAAAATGAATTTAAAAAAAAAAAAAAAGAATTTAAAAAAAAAAAAAAAGAATTTAAAAAAAAAAAAAAAGAATTTAAAAAAAAAAAAAAAGAATTTAAAAAAAAAAAAAAAGGATGCTGAGGGAGAGGAGGGATACCGGTTCTGGCACAAAGCGGGGGGCGCGCAGCCCCACTGCCCGATCCCCCGGGGCTCCGGGAGCGCCGGCGGCAGCGGCAGAGCGCCCAGCTCCGCCGGGGCCGCGTCCCGCCCGCCGGTGGGAGGCATCGCGCCGCCCGCCCCGCGCCCTGCCCGTCCCCGCCGCCGCTCCCACAATGCACAGAGCCCGCCAGGTAGCAGCAACATGGCGCGGGCCGCCGCCTGAGCATCCTCCTCCTCCTCCTCCTCCTCCTCCTCCCGCCCGCCTCCGCCTCCCGCCGCCGGGCTGCCGCAGAGGGGCCGCCCGCCCGCGCCCTGCGCCATGGCAGCCTCCGAGCTCTACACGAAGGTAGGGCGGCGGCGGGGCCGGGGCTGCGGGGG